GGCTGGGCACCAGCCGGAACTCGTGCTCTCGGGTGCTGAAGTGGGTGAAGAGGAACTTTCCCTTCCCTGGCCCCTGTCCATGAACTCCAAACTCTGGGGTGACCGCTTTAGACGAGCCAAGTTAATGTTTAAAGAGCTAATAAATAAATAAATAGGTACTCTCTGGAGCCAAGCCGCCGAAAGCAGCTCAGACCTGCCTGCCTTCTAAAAGCCCTTTCAAAGAGGGCGTCGACTGGCAGGTCATTAAGAAAAGTGCGGTGTGTTCATTCTGCAAAGCTCCCATTCCCCTCAATGCTCCTTTGTTCCTACGGGTTTCAACACACTCCATTTGACATTCTCAATCCCTTTGATAAGAAGTTCTTAGAAGTCCATGGCAACTCAGAGCTCCCTGTTCCGGAGGCAGGTCTGCAGGAATCCTGGCAATCAGGTGAGCAACCTTGAACAAGTTGCTTCACTTCTCTGAGGCTCAGTTTTTCCATCTGAAAATGGTTCATAATCCACCGGAGCTCCTGACTAATCTGTGACTCCGCCAGCGGCAGCAGGGCCGCGGGGAAGGCGAGCAGCTTTGGAATCACACCCGCCCGGGTGTGGGTCTGGGTCCCCCTCTCAGTGCGCGGCTTGGGCCAGTGACTTCACGTCTCTGAGCCTCTGTTTCCACATCCACTCAGCAATAAATGATCATGTGCAACCAATCTATACAAACTCAGGGTTAAGAGGCGAACACGTTGCTTTGGGTTTTTTAAGTAAATTGTTCAAGCCCCATGACATGTCGGCAGAAAGCCCAGAGTCTCTCTCTTACAGTTACTTTGTGAGTTTTCCAGGAACTCCAGACTTCCCTGGGTTCAGAGGTACCTTGTCCTCAACCCAGTGGCTCACCACTTTCTCAGGATGTCGCTCTGACGACTCCCCCTACTCAGGTCAACAGTCAGCGCTTGTCCCTAGCGCCAGGACGGGCTTCTCAGCATCACCTGGGGAACGGCACACTGGCACCAGCACCGCAGAGCTTCGCTCACATTCCATCTGCAGCCACAACCCCCTAGCCTGCAATCCTGGGCAGGGCACTAGGTGCAAGGGGCACCCAGCACACGAAATGCACAGCCCTCGCCCACAGCCTCAGTTTTTGCCTGGAGCTTGGGAGACTGGTCTAGCCTTTCAAGAGAGCCCTGGAATCAGACCCTTTCCCAAACTGACCCACTTTCTTCATATCCCTCCTCCCACCCTCCTGGGTAAGTCTCTGCACCAGGCGGTAAGACAGCATTTACAAAGCCCTCGTCTCACTACCATATGGGCCTCCTACGCGCCTTGTATTTGTATAACTGGGGATTTTTCCCTGATCTTCCAAGCCTAAACTGCTCCATCGTCCCCCAGCCGAACAAAGGAAACGTTGAAGTATTTTTAAATAACCCCTTCAATGGGCAGCCCATTTAATCCCTGCCTGATCCAGAACTGTAATGCATTGGTGCAAATACGACACGCCTAACAGCACCTACGATGCAGGAGCTCAGAAAGCGGAGGTGCATTCCTCTCCAACGAGAGCCACACCCAGAGCAAATGCTCCCCTGCCCGCAAAGAGAGCGGCCCACCGTGGGAATCCGCAGACCCCGTCACCTCTTCACCACGTAATAGCATGTTTATTTATTCCCTCTTAAGCCAGGGGTAGGCAAACCTTTCCTGTAAAGGGCCAGGCAGTGGGTATCTTAGCCTCTGCAGGCCAGCTACATCTTTGCCACATAGATACGTTTTTGACTTCAGTTGTTTTTTTTTTAACAATTCTTGACAAATGTAAAAATCATTCTTAGCTCAAGGCCATAAAGAAGGCTCTCCACAGGGTGGGCCTGGCCCAGGTACCACCATCTGCCACTGTCTGAACGGACAGCTTTGCAAATCTACAGGTTAGGCAGCCTCACCTGGGGATGGAGCAAGGCAGGAGACAGTTTTTGGAAACAGAGTCGGAGAACTTAACCCAAAGCCACTCAGAGTTTTTGAGGTAAATTCTTTTTCTTTAATTTGTTTTTTATTTATTTATTTACTTATTTATTTATTGGGGGGGTGGCTAGGTTTACTTACTTATTTTTAGAGGAGGTACTGGGGGTTGAACCCAGGACCTTGTGTGTGCTAAGCATGCGCTCTAGCACTTGAGCTATAGTATACCCTCCCACTTTGAGGCAAACTCTTGAGCTTCCTGGTGGCTGTGATGGAGCCGGTAGGTCCACCACTGATCCCAGAGGCCGGGGTCTCCGACACACATGTGTCCATCTCCAGCCTCTGCTCCTCCTCCATTCCCCACCAGTGACGCTCTCATCTGCTCTGATGTTTCTTTTGAGCAACTTCCATCACACACGGTCCTCCATCTCTCCTTCTCTTCCTGTCTATCTGCTTACAAATTCATCATGCACACTTCATTTTTTTAATAATCCTTTCTAAGAGTACTTGACAATTTTATCAAAAACCCTTTCCCTATAAAGCTTGCAGGCAGGACAGTGTTTCCCCAAAGTGCTGCCTCCCCGTCTTGGTGGACGTCGTAATTCCTTCTCAGCCCCATCCCTTCAGCTGGGCAGGCACCAGCTTCGGCCCCGGCCATGGCCGCCTTCGGGCTGAGAGGCCTCTGAGCTGGCCTCGAACTTTGCTTCAGGAGGGTGGCTCTCCAGCTCGTCAGAAGGTTTCCATGATGACGCTTCTGGGTCTCTGGTTCCACAGGGTGAGGGTGCATTAACAGGCAACTGACCCGCAAGAGCCAAAGTGAAACCTCCAGAATCCTCAGGGAAGGTTTACACACAGCACATAGCAAAGCAAAGCCAAAAAAAAGGCAACCGGGAATGAAAGCCAAAAGTCAGGGAGTTTGCGAAGTCAGCACAGGGATCTGAAAGAAACTGGCAATCAGTCCTGGACGCAAACCGGACCAAAATGACGCTGCGGGTGCTTGGGTGGGACCCACAACCTTAGCAGAGGTGCAGATGGGTTGAAGATTTTCATGGAACTGTTGCTCTCGACCTCCTCACAATTTTTTACTGGAACACAACATAGCAGTCAGCTCAGTTGTCATCATTTCCAGAACTTTGTCAACAAAAAGGAAGCCTTGACCAAAGGAGTTTTAAAGCCAGTTCTAGCTCAGTTTACTCCTGACTCAGACACTATGGGACAGAAGCCAGGGTAAGACGGTGGGGACAAAGGGGCGGGGGGGGGGCCTGGATGCAGGCACAGTAATATGAAAAAGTCGAGGGCACAGGAGAGAAGATACACATCTCTGAATAGAAGAATCAAGAAAATCAGGACTGGCCTGCTGGCCTGGGTCTCTCAGGACCTTCCAGCAGACTTCAACAGAATTTAAACAATCTCCCTTTGCATCTGCTGTGCATAAGAATTTGAGCTGTTGGGAGCTGTGACCTAATCTGTGTTCCTCACTTGAGTGAGACGGGGCATTAAAGAAGGGGTGGGAGGAAAGAGACATTGGGAAACATGAGCGGAAAGTTTCAGAAATCACACAAAGCACTTGAAGTGCACTGAACAAACAACAGAACAGTATCACTCCTCACAGATAAAGCAGGAGAATGTCTAGATGACCTTGGGTTTGGCGATGACTGTTTAGATACAGCACCAAGGCACGAGCCATGAAAGAAAGAGAAGAGGCTGGACTTCATTATAATTAAAAACTTCTGCTTGCGAAAGACGCTGTCAAGAGAATGACAAGGCAAGCCACAGTCGGGAAGAAAATATTTGCAGTGGACGCATCTGATAAAGGACTGTTATCCAAAATACACCAAAAAAAAAAAAACTTGTTAGAACTCAACAATAAGGAAATGAACAATCTGATTAAAAATTTGGCAAAAGACCTGAACAGACACCTCATGAAATAAGACATACACGTGGAGAATAAACATGTGAAAAGATGCTCAACTTCCTGCCATTAGGGAACTTCAGGCTAAACCCACAGTGAAATACCAACGCACACCTATCAGATGATCAAAATCCCAAACACGGACACCACCAAATGCTGATGAAGATGTGGAGTGACAGGAACTCTCATTCATTGCTGGTGGGAACGCAAAACGGTACAGACACTGCGGAAGACACTTCGGCACTTTCTTTCCTTTTTCCCTTCAGTTTTATTGAGACGTGACTGACGTACAGCTCGGGATAAGTATACGCATATAGCATAATGACTTACATCTGCTGTAAAATGATCACAGTGAGTTTAGTGAACATACATCATCTCGTATAGATACAGGAAAAAGAATAAGAAAAAAATGGGTTTTTCCCCCTGTGATGAGAACTTTCAGAACCTACTTTCAACTAATACACCACGCAGCAATGTTCCCCTAGTTACCATCTTGTGCATCACACCCCCAAGATGTATTTATCTTATAATTGGGAGTTTGTACCTTTTGGCCACCTTCATCCAATTTCCTCACCTCCCACCCTGGCAATTTCTTACAAAACCCAGTGTGCTCCTACCATACATATGATCCAGCAATCATGCTCCTTGGTCCTTATCCAAATAAGTTGAAAACTTATGGCAACACGAAAACCCACACACAGATATTTAAAGCAGCTTCATTCATAACGGCTAAACGGTGGGAACAATTAAAATGCCCTTTGATAGGTTGAATGGATAAATAAACTGCGGTCCATCCGAACAAAGGAATATTATTCAGCACTAAAAAGAAATGAGCCATCAGGCCATAAAAAGACATGGAGGAAACTTAAATACACATTTCTAAGTGAAAGATTCCAAAGTGTAAAGGCTACACGTGGTGTGGTTCCAACTTTACCACATTCTGGAAAAGGCAGAACTACGCAGACAGTAAAAAGAGCAGTGGTTGCCAGGGGCTGGGGGTCCCAGGGAGTGGGGGAAGGAGAGGTGAATAGATGGAACTGAAATAAGTGTGGAGGACTTTTAGGGCAGTGAAGCTACTCCGTGGGATACTGTAACGGTGGGTCCATGTCATTATGCATTTGTCAAACCTCATAGAATGTTTCACTCAAAAGCGAACCCTGGGAGGGAGGGTCTAGCTCAGTGGTAGAGCACGTGCTTACCACGCACGAGGTCCCGGGTTCAATCCCCAGCACCTCCGGATAAAATAAATAAACAAGCCTAATTACCCCCCCAAAAAAGTGAACCCTAATGTAAAGTATGGACTTTGGGTGATGATGACATGTCACTGTAGGTTCGCAGGCTGTAACAAATGCACCGTGCTGATGGGGGAGCAGGGGAGACTGTACGCAGGGCAGGAGGCATGTGGGAAATATCTGTACTTTCTCTTCAGGTTTGCTGTGAACTTCAAACTGCTCTATAAAGTAAAGTCTATTTATAGCGCTCTGACTACCTTCAACCACATCAAAGTCAAATTAGACTGGATTTTTTTGAAGTCATTTGGGATTAATAGAGACACATTACTATACATAAAATGGATAAACAACAAGGACCTACTGTTTAGCACAGGGAACTAGATTTAATTTCTTGCAATAACATACAATGGAATAGAATTTGAATATATAAATATGTGTATGTGTGTGTGTGTGTATATGTATATGTATCACTGAATCGCTTTGCTGTACACCTGAAATTAACATTGTAAACCAACTACATTTCAATAAAAAATGAAATTAAAAAATAAATACATAAAATTTTAAAAGAAAATTTAAAAAAGAAAAAGAAAAGGAGTTCAGGTCCTGAAACAAGAGTAGATTCTGGCCGGATGAAAGAGGTGGGACCATGAACCATCACCTAAAACCACGTCATAATAGGGGCTCTGTGAATATCTGTAGGATGAACGAATGACTGTTCCTGAACCTCACTCAACACTGCCCTCACCCGGCCGTAAGACGTCTTAAGACTGCCGTCCAGGTGTCCATCAGCCCAGGTTGGTCACAGGGAAACTGAGGCCCAGGCTCCTCTCAGGCTTCCTTCATTCAGGACTGGTCCAGAGTCACAAAACTCAAGTTGCTCACACACCTTCTGACGAGACCCAAATCCCGGAGGGGCCTTCGCCTCTGCTCCTCCACCCCCGCCATCAAACCCATCAGCAACGCTGTCAGTGCCACCTCCCAAAAGGCCCAGCATCCCAGGACATCCTTCATCTCAGCCACCACCTCCCTGGTCCCAGCCACCAGAGCTCCTGCCGCAGCCACTGCCACAGCCCCCAGGGGCTCACGGCTCCCACACCTGCCCCACAGTCTGCTCTCCGACAGGAGCTCCTCGTCTCGAGCTCCTCTTCTCACCCAGAAAGGAATCCGATATGCTGACTTACCCTGGCTCTGAGAACCTGTGGGTTCTGGGCCCTGGTCCCTCCCCGACCTCGTCTGCCCCTGCCGACCCCGCTCAAGCCCACCAGCCTCCCTGCTACCCTCCAGGCACACTGGGCACCTTCTGCTCCAGGCCTTCCTGTCCCCCACACCTGCACGCTTCTCCCCCAGAGAGCTTTCCCACAACATTCAAGTCTCTACTCAAATGTCACCAATATAAAAAGAACATTCCCTGCACCCTGTCCAAACCAGAGCCCCTCCCGTCCCTCAGCCTTCAAGGACTTAACCCCGCCCATCGCAGCACACGGTGCACTACGTGTGTACTCGTGTCGCTGCACCGTCCTCCTTCCCGGCTGGAATGGCGGCCTTGGCAGGTGGTATGTGCTTGTTTCCTGCACACCCCCAGGGCCCAGAACAGTGCGTGGCCCCTGGGAAGTTTCTGATAAATACTGGAACGAGGAAGGAAGGGACGCGGGAGAGAGGAAGGGGGGAAGGGAGGAGGAAGGAAGGGGCGGATAAGCAGGCTGGTTTTCTCCTAGAAGGTCACTCTTTGCCCCACGGTGCCTCCACCCCCACCGCCTTCACCCCACGCCACATGGCTGCCCATGATACAGAAGAAAACTAGGGCGCACTCCTCACTCCGAGAATCCCAGGCTGGTGAGGAACGAGAAAACGCGCTAAAACCGACTGGGTGGAGGACAGGGGCAATTCACCTCGCAGAGCAGAATCAGGAGCTAAACACGTGGGGCGGCGGCCGGGGGTGCGGGAACAGAAAAGACAGCCCACGTGGACGCCGGATGCACTTGCGCGCCTCGGGGGCACATGTCTCCGGTCCCCAGAGCGCGGCCCGTCAGGAGGCAGGACACACTAGATCATGTTCTCGGAACTGGTTCGGCGGAAGTTGGCCCCCAGTCTCTCTGAAGTTCACGTTACCCACGGCTTCTAGGGTGTCCAGTGACCTAGAAGCCTCTGGGCTCCTTATTCTCATTCTTGCTGTTTCTTCCATTGACCTATAAACTCCGTCTCCCCCGTGACCCCTCCCCCAGCGCGCTCTCTTGCGGGGGCGCGGGGGCGGGGCAGGTCCCTGGGATTCTCTCTTGGATTCCATTGAGTACGTTTTTACACACCTTCTCGCACTTTCCGCCTCTCCCATTCAACTCCAACAATCCTTTATCCTTCTCTCCACTTACGTTTGATCTGTTTCCCTTCACTCTGTCTTCTTTTCCCTACTTATGTCTTCTGGATTTTCCTACACAGAGGGTTGCATTTATAGCTCACCTCATTGCCCTGTTTTTAATAACTGGGAAGCATTCCCGCCAAAAAGCGTTCTATTACAGGAGGGCATAAAAGGGGGCGCATTCCACCATCTGCCTGCATCGGGCACGCAGGGCGCAGGGCGCAGCTGGCGCGTCATTCTTCCGAGTGCTCACGTGTCCAGACCCGCAGAGGTGGCCAGTGTGACACTGTCTATGGCCCTGTGCTCTGCTCCGCTACGTCTCCCGTGCCCCCCGCCCTCCCACTCATCAGCCTATAAACTTAGGTGAGGATTTTCACTCAGTGCTGCTCTTAGGGAGAAAAGGTGACCGGAGGGGCCTCGTGGAATGGCACTTGTGAAGGAATGATCTCCTGGCACCCAAAATAATCTGCCCAGTTTGGACCTGGCGCTGGGGTTACACACAGCAGGCAGAGATGCGGGCCTCACCCCAGAAGCAAACTGAAGGGGGCCGCCCTTCTCAGCAGGGCTGTAGCATTTCCGCCCCACGACCGAGTGACGGAAGGGCCCCACGTCTGTCCTCCGCAAACGAACAGTGCCGGTGGAGTCACAAGTACAGAAGGAGTCAGGACACAAGGCACCAATCGACCCACCACCAAGGGCCGAGGGACTGAAAGATTAAGGGGGAAAACGCAGGAAGGTTGAACTAGGAAAAGTCAAAGCACGAAGCCCCTGCAGCTCCAGCCCGACGGCCAGGCTTTCTGTGGGAAAAGTAACACACTTGTTGGAGAAGCAGCTGGTTTTCATTACGGCCTGAAGAAGCTTAAAAATAAATACAGCCCCCGCTGCACTCACCCCAAATTCAGCGCACATTCAGTTCCAGTAGAACGGACACCCAGACTTGAAAGTCACAGGATCCGAAACCCCCGCCATGGAGAACTGCTGCTCCAGTGGTTTCTTCCTTGGGCGGCCACTAACTAAAACAATGACAACTTTCATGTCAAATTCCAGGAAATAAAGGATAGACAATAAGGAGTGGTGCTTTTTTTTTTCCTCCAAATGCAAACAAATGAATTAGCGCTGAGGGGCTGAAGGGAAGCGGAACAAATTAGGCCTGAGGGCGTCCCCCAGTCCGCTGGCCCACTGAACGGCTCCTGGGCGTGCTCTCCATCCGAGTTCAGAAGTGGTCTGGGTTGGGGGACAGATGTGTAACAAAAGACACAGGCCCACCCAGAAGATACGGGAGCCTGCTGTGAGGATTACAGGCACTGGCAGAGGGCCAAGGGCTGCCTCCCTTCCCCCAGCTACAGAGAAGAAGCGAAATCACGAACCCAGACCTCATGGGCAGGTCCCCCCACAGCCAAGGACGGGCTCCGTGCGGGAATCATGCCTGCCATCGTGCCTGCACTACCTTAGGTTGGTGAGCACACTTTAAAGTCATTAATTCTTCAGACCCACTCTCCACGACCACATCAAAACAGCTCAGTCAGAGCAGAGCCTAGTGTGTCGGACACACAGTAAATATTTGTCGTTAGAATTAATTAACTGCGCTAAAGAGGCCCCAGGCCAGGACGCTTGTAACACAGCCTTTCAGCTTCCCACAGAGAAAAAGCCTGTCCTCGAACCACAGACTTTACCCCCACCCCCAAACAAGCATCTGAAAAAGTCACCCGTGAGTTAGGAGATGGGCTATGCTCGAAAGCAGGGGACGCAGGACAAACAGCCCAACCACCCGCATCTCAGAGGCTGGGTTCGCAATAGCATCTTCTGAAGGTGAGGACATCTCCAGCAGTTTGTAGAGATGTGACCGCTGACAACAGGAGGTGCTCAAAGACTTCCCTTGAGCAGACAGAACCATGAGCTCTTCTTGGTGGTCTCCGCTAAGAAACCCTCATCGTTCAATTTTAAAAGCAAAAATCTCACTACTCACGAGTTCCTACCTAGAAACAAATGCTTTCTTCCACCTCTGCCTTAGGCAACCCCGCCACTTCCTCGTGAATCTCCTGACCCCAGGTCATGCAAGGAATCCCAGTGTCCACCTACCAACAGAATAACCAAGGAAGGACAGGAGACCAGCCGACCTGGTGGCCGCAGCAGTTTATGGAACTGAAGGGCGCCACTGCCTGCCTGCAGGGTGAGTCCAGCACGGGGGTAAATGAAGGGGCCACAGGCAGCATCCGTAGTAAGGTGAGCAGATCACTGGACACAGCATTAGACAGCAAACTTCTGGCGACATGGCGATAACCCCAGTCTGTCCATGCCACGCATCAACCAGGACAACTCTCCCCGGGACTTGCTGGAGTTGCCGTTCACTAGTTTGGTACCTGGAGTTACATTCAGCGGGGCTTGTCTTTCCGTCGGAGCACCCACCCCCTTCCCGGTGAGCTTCATCACGGACCGCTCCAGGCCCCCTGAAGATCACACAGCCTGGCCTGTCAACCCCTTTGGCTGCTCACAGGCTACAGACTTACTACTTCACCAGAAAAGCAACTCTGCTGTCTCTCTAAAATACTTCTTGCATGTGTTCTGCTTTTGGCTGCCTTGTCTCAGCAGAGTGCACACAAGATCCCCTGGGGCAGATGAGATGTTATTTCATCTGCAAAGATGCCACTTACA